CGATCTTACGTGAAACACAAGAATTAAAGATAAAAAGAACCTGTTGCTCATTGTTATCAAAAGAGATATACAATTATAGCATTATAAGAAGAAAAAAACAAGTTGACGTCAATTACATAAATATGCAATTAAAAACATATAAAAGTATAATTTAATTTGAAATATTTTAAATTTCCGAATAATTAAATTATTCGCACGCTTAGATCTTGATAATTTATGAAATAAATAGAACTAACATTTTATCTTTGTAACGTGCTGCAAAGTGCAAGCACGGTACAATGAAGAATACCAGACAAGGCATTTTATAATGATCAGAGAGTCTCTATACACAGGCTCTGGGTGCTTTTGGTTCTCCCGACAATATGAGCTATTCATTCCAATCAGCACATCCTCATTGCACTCATGGATGATTCTCATTACTCGGTTCTATTGTTTCGGGAATTTAAACTTACGATAGTTGACACTTTGCATTATAATTTTGCACTTACGCTTTCATTAGACGTGCATAAAAATATGGTAGAAGTGGATTAATAAAAACTAAGTGACAAAAAATAATAATTTTTTAAAAAATATATTTGTCATCTTTGATAAGTAGTAAAACGTAATTAAAGAGTGAGAAGGAAATAAGTGATAATAGAAAAAATAAAATATGTTCGATACTATCTAAACGATTAAAGATCAGTAAAATTGTTAACTTAATTAGAGTTCATTTTTCTTAATTGACATTTACATAGCATTCAAAATATAATTTCGCTTTGAAAATCGTGTCAAAGTTTTTCGATTATATCTTGAATATCATAGTCATACATTTGAAAAAAAATTGATTAGTGAGGGATATAATCAATTCGGAATGGTATCTCCGCCTATTTAAAAATATCTTTATTACATATGTTAAAGAAAATATGTAAAAAGTACAAAGAAAATGGAAAGGATTTGCATTTCAATATATGTAAAGAAAAATAACATGTATAATATTGTACTCGTGTATATCGATGTGATGCGTGCGTGGCGCAAGGATACAAGTACAATTCGGGCGTCGTCTGCTGGCACTACTTTCTTGTCTGCCAGTCGGAGAGGAGAGTCTCTCGAATAAAACGGATAATTTCTATGCCCAAGACATATTGCATGTTGTATGGAATTGCCATTTCGTTAATGTTGAATAAATGATTAATTATCTTTTATAATAAATTCCTATATTTGTTTGAGCAGAATAAACGCAAGTTTTTTTAGCTTGTTTCACATTAATTCTAACCTATCACAATGGCAAACGAGAAATTCAACGTTCATTGCTTTTATATTTCTAAAACGAATCTTTGCTTCATTTTCATCGAACAATAGCACATACTTAATCGGTAATTCACGAATGCAGTTCGAAGTTTGTTACACACATACACACATACACACACACGTATCGATTATTATTGTTCTTTGACGGAGCAATTAGCTATCAATGCGAAAGAAACCACTTTTCTTTGATCTACGTTGGTGATTCACAATACAAAGGCATATCCCTCAAACTTCATACCCTTTTATCGTATCGAATTAATTTCCACGCGCAACTCTCTCTAACATTTCAATTTATACGTTCCATTTGAGAAGTGTTCATTTAATCCGGAATCCATTTAATGGAATAATTGAAATCGCGCGATTCTACGTTCAACGATATATTTGAATTATTTATGTAATTGATTGTATATATCATTTGATTTTATCAATTTTAACTATCTTTATATTTATGTTTATATGATTAATTTAAAGAATGATAGATATAATAATCTATCACTCTTATAAAATATAATAAGATAGATATTTCTTTATCATTGTCGATACCATGACTAATGAAAATTAGTTTGCATTTTTTTTTTTCTATTTGCAAGTGACGTTACAATGATATAATTGTAATCGTCTACACTAATGATCGTCAGAGTATAATGAATTATACCATGTTATGTACAAGATCCGTAAATTGATGCGAAATTGAAAAGTTTATTTAAAAAATAAGATTCAATTAACAATCCGATTAACGAAAATCGTTTCTCTAAACACAGTTCAATCTCGTCAACTTGCTACCCTTTTTTCGTGATTTTCCACGGAGAGCGGGGTGTTCACCTCGCAGACGACGCGTTGTTAAAAAGGATGCGTGACAAGCGTCGAATCGATCGATTCGAAAATCGTAGTCGAAGATGCGTGGGTTAATGCAAATTTACCAGAGGAGGGGGAACTATTTTTTAACCGCGAACACACCAATGTTCCACGACTCACGGCACCTGTCGTACTATGCGCGGCGTAGTCAACGCAGCGGCGAACGGTGGGACGCGAAACGGCTCTCCGATTGGCTGATCGCAAGGGGCGCGCGGTTGCTAAGCAACGGCAACACCGCGCGCGTCACCGGCCGGCGTAGCCGGTACCAAACGCTTCCCTGCCACTGTGGCGGAAAATTGCGCAGAACAACGCAGGCTCTCGTCGGGTGTAAACGTGCTTGGCGGTCTTGAACAACGCGATAAAGATAGAGGACCACTCGTCGAAGCTTTTTTCAATTTTTTCTTGCTCTTGTCTCTTATCATTGTCGCTAATCGTCGATACAGAGAGGCACAAGAACCATTCTCGTGGTCTCGTTCTATTCTCGAAAATTACGCGCTTTCAACGAGAAGGAGAACAAAGGACGAAGCGTATTATCGGAGCGACAGAGTTATTCACGTTTTAACCAAGCAAAGGGAAAGAAATATCAAGGAGAAAAATGGCAGAGGACAAGAACGAGACCAGCCCGAGCGCGGAGGGTGAAAAGCCGCCGCAGGAAGCGACGCCGTCGAAACAGGAAAAAGAGGAACCGAAGGAAAGCAAGGAAGAGGAGAAGAAAGTCGAGGAGAATGGCGATGGTGATAAACCGAAGGAGAACGGCGAGGAGAAACCCACGCCAGAGCCGAAGGACATGCGGGCCATAGTACTGAATGGTTTCGGCGGACTAAAAAGTGTCAAGGCTTTGAGGAAGCCTGAGCCCACCCTCGCCGAAGGAGAAGTCCTCATCCGTGTCAAAGCATGGTAAGTTCCATTCTGATTTGTGTCCACGCATTTTCCTATTGTCCGCTACGTATTTATTAGCGATTGATCGAATAGTTTAATAAACGATTGAACAGCTTAACGACCTAACCGCCTGATATGAATCTCTGTGAAGCAACATTCTGCTAGTTGGCACTTTATCTGGCCGTTGGTTGTTCAAATCTTGAATATTTTCTTTATTCAACTGTAATTCTAAATGAAAATACCTGATATATTTGTTTGTTTTACACAAACGCGAAATATGGCAGGATTGCTACAAAGAATCAATTTCAAAAATTGGTGAAGATACTGATGATCAGTTAACAAAGTTAACAATATTCTATTTAGTTGATGCGGCATCGCGTCAGGATTTGCAATAAAACATGATTAACTCACTGATCAATATTGGAATTACTAAATTGGCTAAGAAATAATCAATTCAGAATTTTCATAGTTAGTGGTGCCTGTTTGAGTATTTGAATGATTTCTTATAAAGCAGAAAAAATTTGATTATACATTTTGATTTTAATGTCTGTGCCAAAAATTTTATACTTTAATTACAGTGTCAAATACAATCAAGTTGTATCAGCAATCTTTTTTTTTCTTTACTCTCTCAATATCTTTAGATTCATATGAATCAGATGAAAAGATAGAGGAAGTTTATTCAGATTGATGCGAATGTTAACGAAATCAAACGACATTTTGATATCGTCTCTTACACTGTTTGAATATAAAGCAGTTGAAGACCGCTGGATATGGTTGGCTTTACCAACCGGCAATCAATATTAATCGTTTCTTGTCGATACAGTTTTTGAACAAGTTTATAATTCATGGTATATGATGTGTATCGTGTGGATGTAACGCACAGTCTGTTTCGATCGTTTGTTATTCATTACAAGATGTAAAATTTTTGCCAGAAAACGCTGGGAGGAAAATGAAATAGAAAATGCATTGCTGTAGCCCCGATCTTTCAGCGAACAGACCGTTACAATACCCACTGAGTCTTTGAAATTTAAGGCGTGGTATCTGCTCTCCCCGAGACGTCGGTAATTAGAATTTCATTGCTACGCTACGAAGCGGATGAGTAATTTTATAACGGATGCGGAGGAATTCTAACAAAAAACATTGAATGCGTTCACGTTTCATTCGTTCAGCTTGAAATTTTGTTCTAAGAATTCCTCGATACAAGAAATATTTTTCTGTTTGATATTACAATCAATTTCTGTTCTTTACATCAATACTAGCTGAATTTTACTCAATAGTTTTATCCAATATACATTATTTTTAATTTGTTAAACACAATGGAAGACCGAGAATTTGAAAAATATGTAATTCTAAATTCTCAATTAATTCTAGGGAAAGGATATTCTTTCCTTTTTCAATTTTTTAATTGCAATATACTTTCTGTTATCTTCATTTTGCAAAAATAAAACGTAAAGAATACTAACACTTATTTCTTCTAAGAAGCAATAAGCAATAAGTACATTCATCAAAGCATCGGAAAAAGTTGCAGTAAAAGAATTATTCTAAACAGGGTAAACCTAACCTAAACAGGCGGCTACATTTATAGAATAGTTGTCCGTGCGTTTAATTTCTCTGTACGCAAAACCGAGTTTGATAAGCCGTTTAACTACATCCAACATTGTTGAGTATAGTTCTGTTTCGTTCATCTATTTTTACAATTTCGATCGCACAGACGCACGCACGCACGCACGCACGCATACGTATAGGTATATATATTTCGACATATATACATATATGTATATGTATGTGTGAAAGTTAATCGAATAGAGTTAAAATGTTATTACGATTATGGCTATATATATATATATATATATATATATAT